ATTAATTTCTCTTTATCTGTGGTGAAAAACACGTAATACAAATGTTACCCTCATAACCATTTTAAGTGTACTGTTCCATAGTGATAATTGTATTCAGGTTATGTAATAGATCTCTAGAATTTTATCTTCCCTAACAGAACTATGCCCATCAGCAACTCTCCATTTTCCCCTCCCCACAGCCAGTCCCTGGCCATTAATTTCTTTATACCTATCAGCTAGATGGGTGAACTGGTGAACAAGAAGGGTAATTAGCATTTTGATGGTATGTGACTTTTTACCCATTATGGTGCAAAAATAACATGTGGTTTTGGTTTACCGGACTTCTAGCTGCCCAGTTTATCAAACAGAAGCTTCCAGATCTTCTGCGTTCTTACATTGACGCAGACGTCAGTGGAAATCAAGAAGGTGGCTTCCAAGATATAGCAATAGAGGTCTTACACCTCCTCCTCTCCCATCTCCTCTTTGGGCAGAAGGGAGCCTTTGGAGTTGGACAAGAACAGATAGACGCTTTTCTTAAGACGTTGCGCAGAGGTAAGGGAGTCTTTGTAGCCTACAGTGGATGGTTTTCTTGGATGATCACAAACACATCATAGAAGCATTTCTTTTCTTTCTTTTTTTTTTTTTAAAAGACAAGGTCGGTTGGGCATGGTGGTTCATGCCAATAATCCTAGCACTTTGGGACACCCAGGTGAGCATGACACCATGCCTAGCCTGACATGCTGGTTTTAGCTTAAAAAATTGGTCATTTTTGATATGTCCACTTCACCTCCTTGCCTATTGACCCTGTAATTTTAAGGTAAATCCTAGTTCTTTTATTGCCTCTGAGCTTTCGTATTTGAGAGAGATAATTATTTTTATATATGTATATATATATATATTTTTTTTTATAAAGATGGGGTTTCACCATGATGGCCAGGCTGGTCTTGAACTCCTGACCTCAGGTGATCCACCCACCTCAGCCTCCCAAAGTGCTAGGATTACAGGTGTGAGCCACTGCGCCCAGCTTATTATTTTTATTTTTATTTTTATTTATTTATTTATTTATTTTTGAGACGGAGTTTCGCTCTTGTTGCCCAGGCTGGAGTGCAATGGCGCGATCTCGGCTCACCGCAACCTCCGTCTCCTGGGTTCAGGCAATTCTCCTGCCTCAGCCTCCTGAGTAGCTGGGATTACAGGCACGTGCCACCATGCCCAGCTAATGTTTTGTATTTTTAGTAGAGACGGGGTTTCACCATGTTGACCAGGATGGTCTCGATCTCTTGACCTCGTGATCCACCCGCCTCGGCCTCCCAAAGTGCTGGGATTACAAGCTTGAGCCACCGTGCCCGGCCCTGCAGCTTATTATTTTTAAAACAAATCTGTGATAATGGGTTAACAACCATTCTCATGGTTATTTTTATTTATTTCCTAATGTTTATATAGTTTAATTTTAATGTACATTAACATTCTCACTAATGGGAAACTTTCCACTTGACAGTGAAATAAATAGACTAATACTCTTTTTTTTTTTAAAGATGGGGTTTCACCATGTTGGTCAGGCTGGTCTTGAACTCCCAACCTCAGGTGATCCACCTGCTTTGGCCTCCAGAGTGCTTTGGATTACAGGCGTGAGCCACCATGCCCGGCCTAGACTAATATTCTGATTGTTTTTTGATGCTTTCTTTGTATGGGAATCATTAGTCCTATTGTGAAAATTTAAAGTAATATTAGGGTGTGAATTGGTAAATAGATACTGGAATCCCAATAGCAAATATTAAAGGTATACTGATGAGCATTTTTTGTCATATAAAAATAGTCAAATTTTGGAACTGATATAGAAATCATAACTTAGGCTCGTAAGCTGGAAAAAATGAAATAAACTTGGCTTTAAATATGAACTTGGGAGAGAATTGGGTTTGAGGGGGCTTTTGGAGAGAGCAAAAGAGGATTGTTTGTTTTTAATTCGTATAGCATTTATAACCTTTTTCCTTTCTTAGATTTTCCCCAAGAACGCTGTCCTGTGGTGCTTGCACCACTTTTATACCCTGAAAAACGGGACATTCTAATGGACAGGATCCTGCCTGATTCCGGAGGGGTAGCTAAAACCATGATGGAGAGCTCTTTGGCTGATTTCATGCAAGAAGTAGGCTATGGCTTTTGTGCAAGGTTGGTAGTAAAATATATTAAGCTTCTGATTATTCTTGTGCCAAACATGATGTAATTTTTTGAAACAAGTTTCTAAAATCGGACTAATTTTTTCCTGTATGACCTCTACCGTGTCTTCACTCTGCCTTCATCTGTGGCTTCCTTCTTTTCTGCCCTTTTTATATACCCTACCTCTTGCATGGGGTATTTTTCTCACTTGCATGGGGCAGCAAAGGATATTGTTTCACACTGTTAGTAGCACTTAAGACTTTGATGTACTGGATTATTAGTTTTTATTTATTTATTTATTTTGAAATGGAGTTTTGCTCTTTCACCCAGGCTGGAGTGCAGTGGCGTGATACCGGTTCACTGCAACCTCTGCCTTAACGGTTACAAGTAGTTGGGATTACAGGGACCTGCCACCATGCCTGGCCAATTTTTGTATTTTCAGTAGAGATGGGGTTTCACCATGTTGGCCAAGATGGTCTTGATCTCCTGACCTCATGATCTGCCTGCCTTAGCCTCACAAAGTGCGGGGATTACAGGCATGAGCCACGGTGCCTGGCCTATTAATACTTTTTTTTTTTTTTTTTTTTTTTTTTTGAGATGGAGCCTTGCTCTGTCACCCAGGCTGGAGTGCAGTGGTCCAATCTTGGCTCACTGCAACTTCTGCCTCCTGGGTTCAAGCGATTCTCCTGCCTCAGCCTCCCAAGTAGCTGAGACAACAGACGCCTGCCACCATGCCTGGCTACTCTATTAATACTTTTCTAAGAGTAAATTATTAAGGGCATTGATGTGCTTTGCTTTGACTTAAAAATTTTTATGTTTTTTTTTTTTTGAGACGGAGTGTCACTCTTGTTACCCAGGCTGGAGTGCAATGGTACGATCTCGGCTCACCGCAACCTCCGCCTCCTGGGTTCAGGCAATTCTCCTGCCTCAACCTCCTGAGTAGCTGGGATTACAGGCACACGCCACCATGCCCAGCTAATTTTTTGTATTTTTAGTAGAGATGGGGTTTCACCATGTTGACCAGGATGGTCTCGATCTCTTGACCTCGTGATCCACCCGCCTCGGCCTCCCAAAGTGCTGGGATTACAGGCTTGAGCCACCGTGCCTGGCAATTTTTATGTTTTAAAAACTCAGACAAACCACATTTTCACTTATGTTTGAAATAGTGCATTTGTGCGTGTTGGACTTGTGCCTGGCATATAACTTGTTAATCAAACTGTGTAAGATGCATACTGAAAAGTTAGGATGCATTTTCAAGGCTTTGTACATAACAGAATAATCAATCTCACTTTGAATGTTAAAATCTTAAGATTGAGGATAATTTTGTCGTGAACGAGATCATTACTCATGAGTCTTACTTTTTTCCACTGATTCCTGCCCCAAGACCGATTATCGCTCTGTTGCCACGGCTGGAATACAGTGGCGTGATCTCGGCTCACTGCACCACATCTGCTTTTTGGTTCAAGCAATTCTCCTGCTGCAGCCTCCACCCGGCCAATTTTCTGTATTTTTACTAGAGACAGGGTTTCATTGTGTTAGCCAGGATGGTCTTGCTCTCCTGACCTCGTGATCTGCCTGCTTTGGCCTCCCAAAGTGCTGGGATAACAGGTGTGAGCCACCGTGTCCGGCTCTTCCACTGATGTTTTGAAAATGGCTTTTTTTGTTTATGAGGTGGAGTCTCACTTTGTTGCCAGGCTGGAGTTCAGTGTCACGATTTCAGCTCACTGCAACCTCCGCCTCCTGGGTTCAAGCGATTCCTCTGCCTCAGCTTCCCGAGTAGCTGGAACTACAGGCATGTGCCATCACACCTTGCCAGTTTTTTGTATTTTGTATTTAATAGCCACCATGCCTAGCCTAAAATTGTTTGCCTTTTAAAAAAAGGTTTACTGGGCCAGGTACAGTGGCTCACGCCTGTAATCCCAGCACTTTGGGAGGCCAAGGCAGGTGTATTGCCTGAGGTCAGGAGTTAGAGACCAGCCTGGCCAACATAGTGAAACCCTGTCTCTACTAAAAATACAAAAAAACTAGCTGGGTGAGGTAGTGGGCACCTGTAATGCCAGCTACTCAGTGAGGCTGAGGCAGGAGAATTGCTTGAACCTGGGAGGTGGAGGTTGCAGTAAGGTGAGATTGTGCCATTGCACTCCAGCATGGGCAACAAGTGAAACTCTGTCTCAAAAAAGCAATTATTTTTATTTCAATAGTTTTTGGGGTACAGGTGGTTTATGGTTACATGGATAAGATCTTTAGTGGTGATTTCTGAGATTTTGGTGCACCCATGACCTGAGCAGTATACACTGTACCCTATATGTAGTCTTTTATTCTTCTCCTATCCCCTCCAGACCCCAAAGTTCATTATTTCATACCTTTTTGGCACCAGGGACTGGTTTTGTGGGAGATGGTTTTTCTGTGGACTGTGGGTAGGTGGGGTGGGGGATGGTTTTGGGATGAAACTCTTCCACCTCAGATCATCTTTTATTACATTCTCATAAGGATTGCGCAGGTTGGGCGTGGTGGCTCATGCCTGTAATCTCAGCAATTTGGGAGGTCGAGGCGGGTGGATCACCTGAGGTCATGAGTTTGAGACCAGCCTGGCCAACATGGAGAAACCCGGTCTCCACTAAAAATACAAAAAATTAGCCAGGCTTGGTGGTGCATGGGTGTAATCCCAGCTACCCAGGAGTCTGACACTTGAACCCAGGAGGCAGAGGTTGCAGTGAGCCGAGATTGTACCACTGCACTCCTTCCTGGGTGACAGAGGGAGACTCCCAAAGGATTGTGCAACCTAGATTCTTCTCATGAGCAGTTCACAGTAGTTTGTGCTCCTGTGAGAATCTGTTGCCTCTGTTGGTTTCTTTCTTTTTTCTCTCTCTCTATGCTTCTGGCAGGATCAACTGGGTAGCCTCTGCTGATTTCACAAGAGGTGGAGCCCAAGAGGAAATGCTGCTCTGTGACCGTTTTTTTTTGTTTTTTTTTTTTTTTGAGACGGAGTTTCGCTCTTGTTACCCAGGCTGGAGTGCAATGGCACGATCTCGGCTCACCGCAACCTCCGCCTCCTGGGTTCAGGCAGTTCTCCTGCCTCAGCCTCCTGAGTAGCTGGGATTACAGGCACACGTCTGTGGCCGTTTTCTAATAGGCCATCCAGGGGTTCAGAACCCTGCGGCATTAGCTTATTCTTATGCCTTTGCATTTTCATAGCTTACCTCATCTCCCATTTAACAAGTGAGAACATACAATATTTGGCTTTTCATTCCCAAGTTACTTAGAATAATGACTTTGCCATTTTCTTACTGAAGTAGGTGATTTTTACATTTCGAGCTGTATAACAAGAAATGACACTTTCTGTTCTGCCTGTGTTAGTAAAACTAAGGATTTCAAAGATTATACTGCCAGAATTTCTCAGTCTTGGTTTTGGGGCTGGTAGCATTTTACTGAAGTCACATTTCTGTTTCAGTATTGAAGAATGTCGCAATATAATCATGCAGTTTGGTGTTCGGGAGGTCACAGCTGCCCAGGTTGCAAGGGTTTTGGGAATGATGGCTCGAACTCATTCAGGATTAACAGATGGCATTCCATTACAGGTGTGTTGAATTCAGCTATTTTACCAAGTGAGTTAATGTCCTGTCCTCTTTATTTTATTTAGTAAATTACAATGTGATTGATTGTTCTACTGACCAGAAGTGAACACATGGAGTAGTTGGATTTGTTTAATTGAAGTCTTATTTTTACAGAGTATTTCTGCTCCGGGCAGTGGGATCTGGAGTGATGGAAAAGATAAAAGTGATGGAGCACAGGCACACACGTGGAATGTAGAAGTCTTGATTGATGTTCTTAAAGAACTGGTGAGTTATATGTGATGATGGTTTTTGATTTGTGATGTTAGGATGGTATAGTCCAAAGAAAGCAAATTTTTAAAAATTCACCACCTTCATTAACTCAAGAAGTAATAAAGTGTCCAAGTTGATTGTATACTGGAGACAGTATATAATCAAATTAAATTTTTTTTATTAGGGTTGTTACCTTGCAATTTGGGGTGCTTCTGAGTTAATCTTGTTTATGGTGGATAATTGAACTGTATTTATTTTTGCTTTAGCTATGTTGCCCATATTGGACTTTAACTCCTGGGCTTTAGTTAGTGATCCTCCCACCTCGGCCTCTCAATGGGTTAGTGTTACAAGTGTGAGCCATTGTGCTTGGCCTGGAATGGAACTCTGTGTGTGTGTGTGTGTGTGTGTGTGTGTGTGCGCGCAGTGCAGTGGTGCAATCATGGCTCACTGCATCCTCTACCTCCTGGGTTCAAGCGGTTCTCCTGCCTTAGCCTCCCAGGTAGCTGGGATTACAGGCTTGTGCTACCACGCCTGGTTAATTTTTTCTTTTAATTTTTAGTAGAGATAAGGTTTAATCCAGGCCTGTCTCAAAGGCCTGACCTCAGGTTACCTGCCCTCCTTCCAAAGTCCTGTGATTACAGGCAGAAGCCACTGTACCCAACTCTGGAAAGGAACTTTTAGATATTAAAAGGTAGTGTGATAAGCTGGATGTGGTGGCTCACTCCTGTAATTTCAGCTCTTTGGGAGGCCAACGCCGGTGGATCACGTGAGGCCAGGAGTTGGGAGACCAGCCTGGCCAACAGGACGAAACCTTGTCTCTGCTAAAAATAAAAAAAATTACCTGGGCGTGTTGGTGTACTTCTGTAATCCCAGGTACTTGGGAGGCTGAGGCACAAGAATCGCTTAAACCCAGGAGGTGCAGGTTGCAGTGAGCTGAGATTGTGCCACTGTATTCCAGCCTGGATGATAGAGTTGAGATTCTCTCTGGGGAAAAAGAAAAAAAAAAAAAAAGAGTTTCTTAAAATTCCTTTTTTTTTTTTTTTTTTTTGAGACGGAGTTTCGCTCTTGTTGCCCAGGCTGGAGTTGCAATGGTGCGATCTCGGCTTACCGCAACCTCCGCCTCCTGGGTTCAGGCAATTCTCCTGCCTCAGCCTCCTGAGTAGCTGGGATTACAGGCATGCGCCACCATGCCCAGCTGATTTTTTGTATTTTTAGTAGAGACGGGGTTTCACTATGTTGACCAGGATGGTCTTGATCTCTTGACCCTGTGATCCACCAGCCTCGGCCTCCCAAAGTGCTGGGATTACAGGCTTGAGCCACCGCGCCCGGCCTAAAATTCCCTTTTAAAATTTTGTAAGTAGAACATCTAAATTGAATTTCAGATTTAATTTGGCCTTTTGGATAATGTATCAAAATATACATACATTCATTAAATTTTAAACTGCTTTGGTCTTTTTTAGAATCCGAGTTTGAATTTCAAGGAAGTAACTTATGAACTGGACCATCCTGGATTTCAAATTCGTGACAGTAAAGGACTTCATAATGTGGTTTATGGCATTCAAAGGGGTTTGGGTATGGAAGTCTTCCCAGTAGACCTCATATATAGACCTTGGAAACATGCTGAAGGCCAGGTGAGTGGGTGGTATTTAGTTATAGAAGGGGTAATGACATGACTTACTCTTTATCCAGTGCCATCTACCCATTGATTGAAACACACTTGTAAAGTAGAATTTGTTATACATAGCACAGAAAAGCAGGGACTATCATAAATATTGTAGGAATATTTTCATAGTTTTATACTAGCCAGACACTTAAGGTATACCAGTCATGCTGTTTTCCCAATAGTTTAATGATGTTTGTTTCCAAGGTAACGTTTAAGTTTCCCTAATTGGCTCAAAAATGTCTTATAACAGTTTTCATGATTGAGAATCCAGACAAAGCCGGGCGCGGTGGCTCACGCCTGTAATCCCAGCACTTTGGGAGGCCGAGGCGGGTGGATCATGAGGTCAAGAGATCGAGACCATCCTGGTCAGCATGGTGAAACCCCGTCTCTACTAAAAATACAAAACATTAACTGGGCATGGTGGCGCGTGCCTGTAATCCCAGCTACTCGGGAGGCTGAGGCAGGAGAATTGCCTGAACCCAGGAGGCGGAGGTTGCGGTGGGCCGAGATCGCGCCATTGCACTCCAGCCTGGGTAACAAGAGCGAAACTCCGTCTCAAAAAAAA